TCATCGTAACTCTTAAATATGTGTCATTTTCATAAAGAATGTGGATATTTAGTAGCTTACAGTGTCTGGCAGCTAACATATACACATACAGGTACATACAAAAAGCAATTATAGTTCAACCTAAAACTTATTTTTACTTTGTCATTTATTATGGCCAAATAAAAAGACTATATTTCAAAGAACATTGTGCTCCTGTTCTCAAAAATGATGGGACAAAATTGAGTGGACTATATCTATGATATTCATATACAAGTTTTTGGGTAGACATGGTTTTATTTCTCTTGGATATATAACTAGCAGTGGTACTGCTGGGCCATATGGTAACTCTTTGTTTAATCATTGAGGACATGCCAGACTGTTTTTCAAAGTGGCAGCACTATTTTACAATCCCATCAGCCATGTATGAAGGTTGAAATTTCTCCACTTCTTCATCAACACTTGTTTTTATTGTGTGTCTTTGATGATAGCCATATTAGCATGTGTGAAGTAATAGTTCACTGTGGTTTTGATTTTCATTTCCCTAATGACTAATAACTTTTAGTGTCTTTTCATGTGCTTCCTGGCCATTTGTTCATTATTCCTGTAGCATGTAGCAATATCTTCATAGTTTGTGCCTATTTTGTAGATGACTTATATGTCTTTTTTTTTTTTACTTGTTAAGAGATTTTTCTTTATATTTTGGATCTTGGTCTCTTATCAAGCATATTTTTGCAAATATTTTATCTCATTCTGTGCATTACCTTTTCATTTTCTTAATATTCTTTGAAGCACAATAGTTTTTAATGTTGATGATGCCAAATTTATTTTTGTTGTTGCTGTTGCTTTGCATTTTGTTACTTTTCATATCTAAAATTTTCTTTTTTTTTTTTTTAAGATTTTTTTTTATTGGGGAATTGCAGGGATGGGAACAGTGCTGGGGAATTGGGGGAAGGGGAACAGACAAGTTGCTGTCATTTTGTTCTTCAATCTAGTTGTGGAGGATGTTGCTTCACTGGCCCAAGTTGGCACCATCATTGCGCTCTTCTCTGGCAAGGCAGATCAGTCACCGGCTTCTGGACGGCTGCTCACTGCGGCTGCTGGCCGCTCACGCTGGCTGCTGGCTACACACGGTAGCCCATGGCAATCCACTGCCACAGGGACTGCAGTCCACGCCGTCGCCGGCGACTCATGACAGGTCAGCTCCAGGTTGAGCTGTTGTTCAGCATCTTAGCTGTAGAGGGCAGTGTCACTGGCCCTCATATGTGGGATCCGAACCGGGGCCCTCTGGCGTCCCAAGCGAGTTCTTAACCATCGCGCCACTCGGCCTGCCCTCTAAAATTTTCTTTACAAAGATCATGAAGTTATACTCATATCTTTTTTATAAAATTCTATATATTTAGTTGTTACACTATATCTGTGATCCGTTACCAGGTATTGTTTAATATGAGTAATTGTGGGCACAAATTTATTCTTTTTTTTTAAAGATTTTTATTGGGGAATTGGGGGAGGGGAACAGACAAGTTGCTGTCCTTTTGTTCTTCAGTCTAGTTGTGGAGGATGTCGCTTCACTGGCCCATGTTGGTATTGTGATCACTGAGCTCTTTCCCGGCTGAGGTAGTCGCTCACTGGTCATTGAATGCCCTCTCACAGCAGCTCTCGGCAGCTCACACCGACTGCAGGCTGCTCACGCTGGCTGCAGGTCGTTCACGGTAGCTCACCGCAGCCCATTGCAGTCTACACCATCACCGGTGACTCACGACAGGCACCCTAGCTCCTGGTCGAGCTGTTGTTCGCCATCTTAGCTGTAGAGGGCACAGTATCACTGGCTCATGTGGGATCTGAACCGGTGGTCTTGCTGCTCAGAGCCTGCGCTCCCAAGCCAACTCTTAACCAACGAGCCACTTGGCTGGACCTTAAATTTATTCTTTTATATGTAACTAAACAGTTGTTCCTGCACCATTTGTTAAAAATATTGGCTTTTTTTCCCCATTCAATGGTCTTGGCACTCATCAAAAATCAATTAACCAATATGTGTGAGAGTTTTTGTACTCCAAATTTGATTTCATTAATCTATATTTCTATTCTTATGCTAGAAGGACACTGTCTTGATAATAGCAAGATTTGAAATCAAGAAATGTGAGTCATTTAACTTTGTACTGCTTTTTACATATTATTTTGACTTTTACTTGTCCTTTACATCTCCATATGAATTTTAGGCTCAACTTGTCAATTTCATCAAAAAAATAGATGAGATTTTTATAGGGATTGTCTTGAATCTGCAAGTTATTTTGAGAAGCCTTACCTTTTTAACAATATTATTTTTTCATCAATATCTTTGGGAAAATCTTGGGATATCTTCCAACTGATTCAGGTCTTTTTAACATTTCTTTCAATGATTTTTTTAGGTTTCAGACTAAAACGTTTGGACCTGTTTGGTTAAATCTATTCTCAAGCATTTTATTTCCTTTTATGCTTCTTTAAGTGGAATTTTAAAAATTTCATTTATGGTTTATTTTTTAATTTTATTTATAGATTTTTTTTTTTAAGATTTTTATTGGGGAATTGGGG